AGAAGTCTGGTCGCTGAAGGTGTTTGTGTTTTGCCGTCAGGTAAAATTTGTTTACCGGGAAAAAATTTACAGGGAAAGTCTCAGGGAAAGTGTGGGTACAAGGGGTGGTGGTTATCGGGAGGGGGTGTTGTAAGATAATTTAAATTTGACAAAAAGATGTCGGTGTATGAGTTTGTGTGGTGGTTAGGATTTAAGTGCGAGATGACAGGATCGGAAGGGGATAAAAGAAGGGAGTGGGCAAGGGAATAAGGGAAAGGAGTTGGTCGAGTAAGGGGGGAGGGGAGGGAATGAAGGAAAGGCGTGGGAAAGGGATTAATTGAATGGAGTTGGTCGAGTGGAAGAGGGGGAGAAGGGAATAAAGGTAGGGAGTGGCAAGGGAATGATGGAAGAGAGTGAGTCAAGTGGGAGGGGAGGGAATGAAGGAAGAGAGTGGGCAAGGGAATTAGAAAGGGAGTGAGTCAAGTGGGAGGGGAGGGAATGAAGGAAGGAAGCTAGGGAGAGTGAGTAGGAAGTAGGCAAGGGAATGGCTATTCACCATCATTCCTTTTTTGGTTCCTTGAGGAACATAGGAGCCCCACCTAAACTCTTCATTCTACCCGGTCCCCTATGACTCTGTTTTCGTTTTCTTCTCTCTCTCTGTCCTTTTTTCAGCCTTATATAGCACGCTGCAAGGGAATGGGGGAAGGGATTGGAGAAATAAAAGAAGGGGGGGGGGGGTCGGAAGTAGAGGTGGTGATGGGCGTAAAATTAATAATCCTGAGCTTATCCTCGGTAGAAAGGAAGCAATCCGAATACAAAGCGAAACCGGAAGTAGATAAACTTGTCATAAAGAACGGGTGAAAGGTTGATGAAGTATTGTTTATGTTGGGTGAAATCAAGAGCTTAAGGAAATCTATGGTTGGGGGGAGCTAGAGAGACACGGTTTTACGTGAAGTTAATGGGTGGTGGTGGTGGTATTTGAAATGGTTGGGTCCAATTAACCTTCAACAGGTTGTATGAAAGCTGAAGGTGGGTAATGCAGATCAGAGGCATAGCGACGCAGGGGGGTTAGGGGGGATGGGGGGTACATATGTCCCCGGGAACCGACCCTAGGGGCGCCAAAATAAGTTCATTCTAGCTGCTCGTTTGAATTATAAATATAAAAAAACATATGGGGGGGGGGCGCCAAATTGAAAGATTGTCCCCGGGCGCCGGGAGGGGTCGCTACGCCTCTGTGGAAGATTGCCGTGTCTTATACATATTCTAACTTTAGGGAATTCCAGGACTACTAGGCATGGGAGCCATACACTTAGGGATGGTCTATCTAGTTAAACCCGGGGGTGGGGGGGCGGGGGAGCAGGGCCGGCGCTACCTATAAGGCGATCTAGGCGGTCACCTTGGGCGCCATCCCTAGAAGGGGGGGGGGCGCAAAAATGTTTATCAAGAAGTACCTAATATTAATAATTTTTTTTATAAAGGAGTAGCGATTTATTTCGGCACACTGGACGAACTATCAATTTTGCACCCCCACCCCAAAATTTGGTTTGTATAGGCCTATATTTATTCTCGGTGGTGAAAATGCAACCCCATCTCCATAATTTGGAAAGGTCGGGGCGCTTTTTACCAGTCACTTTGACGTTTTAATTTGGTGTCACATAATTGATGTAGAAAACGATTAAATAAGTTCGTAATTTAAATTTCGAACATTTCAAACGGTTATCAAATATTAATAGCGCTTGTAAGTCTCGTTTTCACTGACTTTGAATTAGAAATCTCTCCTGGTGTATAGAGTTTTGTAATGACGGGGTGTTCAAAGTATTGTACTTTTTTGGTAAGTTTTGATGAATCGTTTAGATTTGGAAGTAACGGCGGAAGGCTGTTGCTGATATGGTTTCGTAGGTATAAAGTATCGATGTGTTAAAGTGTCATAATTTATATTAGGCTGTTATGTAAATATAGTAGTAGGTCCAGTGAAATCGTTGTTGATTGGGAGTACTGTTTGTAGAGCTTGGTGAAGTTAAGCGAGTTGGTGTCGTAGTTATGGAGCATCGAGTCTAGTTATGTTTAGGTATTATATAATATTAAAAAGGATGGAATTTAAAACTAACCTTACACTTTGTTTTTTCTCAATTAATAATTTTTTTTGTATTAAAGCTATAATTCTAGCAATGTCTAAACCAGGGGTCGGCAACCATTCGAAGCGGAAGAGCCAAAAGTTACAATTTTCAAAATTTCCCTGGTTTTAAAGAGCCGCTAACATTTTTTTTTATTTCAAGTATTTTATTTTTTGATTAAGATTATTATTATTTGTGCAAGGAGCTGGAGAGCCGCATCTTGACATCAAAAGAGCCGCATGCGGCTCGCGAGCCGCAGGTTGCCGACCCCTGGTCTAAACAGTTACCCGTGTTTGAATTGTTTGAACGGCGTCCCTTTATTTTTTTATTTTTTTTAAATTTTAGACATTTATTTAAAAAGTAACTTAGTGTTTTTTAGTGGCTTCCTGTGCTTTGAGTACTCTAGCCAGTGGCGTAGGCAGGGGGGGGGGGTTAGGGGGGGGGGTCATAACCCCCCCATAGACCCCTCGGTATATAGAAAAAGTATGAGGGGGGGGGTGCAAATCGAAAGTTTGAGGGGGGGTGCAAATCGAAAGTTTGAGGGGGGGGTGCAAATCGAAAGTTTGTCCCCGGGTAAAAATTGGACCCCCCCCCCCCCCCTTGAGACGATCCTGGCTACGCCACTGACTCTAGCAACAATTTTCTGTTCTTCAATAAAAAAAGCACGGATGATCCTTTCTCTAACTGCCTTTTGACATCTAGATCCACCATAAGCACGTGTTACAGTCTTTTGTCTCTTACTCATGGCAGCCAACTTGTGGGGTCTAACAGCTTTAACCCCTCTCAGCTTGGTCTTGTAGTCTCCACATACTGGTGTTTTGGGGAGTTTCTTCTGATACAAGTAAACTAGTTTACCACCAGGTGTCTTGGATACCTTTCTGCGATTGGAGTTGGTGTTGTAAGACAAACGTCTTCTGAAAGTGAGACGCTGAACCATATTTTGTTACACTCTTAAATCATTTAAAACTGCAGTAACTTGACGATTATATTAGCTTTAATTTGGGGATACAAAGTTGAATAAGCCCGAGAGCTTGACGAAGTACAATTCACGTTAGATCATCAAAATTAAATAGAAGTATGTTATAATAAAGCTACCATTTTAGACTTTCAAACAAAACCTATATTTAAATATTCAGTGAGTAGAATATATTGTTTTTACAAAGTTGCAATGCTAAAATAAAAGATTTATTATAATTATTACAAAATGAAATTTAAAACTTTTTTTTCAAGCATGTCTTAGTTTCACTTGGTTAATTTAGCTATTCTTGTGAAATTTATTTCCCTTGATTAAAATTTTGGTCTTTGGATTTTCGAATGGGAGATAATTCGTTGCTTAACTTTACATTCATTTCAAATTCCTGCACCTTAGGTTGACCGCTTACATATAAATACAACTTTAAGTTATTATTTGCTATTGTAAAAATTATATAGAGCTTAAGCTTAAAATCAATAAGTTACGTTTGGAACTCACCTTGGGAGGTCTGCAGAGAGCCTAACTTTACAAGATTTTTTTTCAGTGTTTTTTCCCTGACTTTTTCCTCCCGGGAAGGGGGGGGGGGGGTGAGAAGCACTTAAAATATTTTAAGGGCCGTGGAGGCTATGTCGTCAAGTACAAAGTAGACTCGTGGACTTAGCAACAATTTCAATAACATGTGATTACGCTTGCAAACTGGAATTGAAGGAATTAGTACCAACTTTTTAGACAAATGAGGCAAGTAAAATTTGATTTTGATGTCTACATATAACGTGTGTGCAATTGAAAATAAATTAATATGTCACTTTTAATTAATTGTTTTCTTACATATATGTTTTAGCAATTAATTTGTGTGAAAGGGCGTTTTAAGAAGTATTGCCTAGAGCGCTAAATAACCTGGCGCTGACACTGGGAGGGGGGGGGGGGAGTAGGACAAACTATACCAATATCAAATAATATGAGCGAAATGCCTTCTCATTTTTGAGAAGTACAATTATTCTGTTATTATGGCAACGGCGCAGGAAGAGATTATTTAGCAATTATTTTCACTAAATTTATGCTGGGTACCAACTAGAGCTGGGTCAGCTCAAGCTCTAGACAAAGAAACCAAGGACGCAGTTAATTAGGGTAATAAGGGTTGAGGCTGAAGGATAAACCGCTGGTTGCTCTATAATTAGCTACATTGATTATGTCGTCAAGAGAATAATGTACTCAGTACTGTCTACTGAGCACTGTGTACGAATGACTGTGTAATGTGTACTTGCACTGAGCACTATGCGCTGAGCACAATGTACTCAGTACTGCGTACTGAGCAGGGTGTACTAAACACTGAGAACTGTTCATTAAATTCTGTGAAGTTTGTATTGTTTAGGTTGTGTACAAACCAAGTACTGAATGTACTAAGTACTGTGTATTGCGAATATGATACTAAGTACTATTTAATGATCACAGAGTATCAAACAGTGAAGGGTTGAGCAGTGTTTATTTGGTGTTGTTTACTATATATAGTCGGAACTGAGTAGTACACACGGGAGTACTATTTACAGATTAGGACTCTCTTGAGATATATGTTCTGGGTACTGAATGCTGTGTACTGTGTGCTCGGTACTGAGAACTGTGTGCTGGGCAATGTGTTTCTTGTGCTGGGTACTGAGTACTGTTTGCTTAGTAGTGAGTACTGTTTGCTTAGTGCTGTGTACTGTATGCTGGGTATTGAGTACTGTTTGCTTAGTACTGAGTACTGAATGCTGGGAACTAAGTACTGTGTGTTGAATACTGAGTACTGTATCTTGGGTACTGAGTACTATGTGCAGAGTACTGTCTACCATGTGATAGCCAATGAGTACAATGTGCTAAGAACTGAGTACTGTGTGCTGGGTACTTAGTAATGTGCTCTGGTTACTGAGCGTGCAAAACACAGAAACAGTACTCACGTGCCCCTCTTTGAGAGCCGTCTGGAAGCTGCTGGGACGATGGCTCTGCCGCTCCTCCGGCTTCGAGTGAACGGCTCCCAGCAGCAGCTCCCGCGTCAGCTGCAACTCGTCGTCCTTGACCGCGCTGACGTCACTTCCGGCCACGCTGTTGTCGAGGTTGGCCTCCTGCCCGTGGTGCCGGTGCCCCCCGCCGTGGGGGTGCTTGTGGTGACGCCGCAGCTCCACCATCACCAGCTGCAGCTCGTGCAGGGTGAAGTTGAGCGCGTGGAAACAGTCGACGTCGCTGTCGGGATTCGAACCGGCCTCGGCGCCGGTTTTAGCGGGCGCCGGAAGAGGCGGGAGCGAGTAGATTAGGTACTTGGTGTAGGGCGCCATGTCAGTGTAAGCCTGGCGGTCCCCGCAACCACTGGCCAGTTTTTGGGACAGCTCCCGGCTGACGTTGGCCGAGTAGGGTATGACGTAGGATGACGTCACCTCGTACTCGGCTTCCGTCCCGCCCCGGACGGTCCACGAAGCCTGGGTGAGGCGGTGGGTGCCCCGGGACTGGATGGCGTAGAGCGGGTGGTGGCAGTCGGGGTCGGCATACCGGTAGAGGGTCGACTCGAAGGTTCGGTTTTTGAAAACAAAATGGCGGACGACGTATTCCGGACCGGATCTGATCTCACACCTGAGGAATAGAGAGGTGAAAACAGGTGTTTAAACACGACATGTTTTACACTTGATAGATTTTAACTCTTGATATACTTTAAAACACTTAGCGTATTTTAACACGTGACATTTTTAACACATGACATTTTAACACATGACATTTTAACACATGACATTTTTAACACTTGACATTTGTAACACTTGATATACATTAAACACATGATATATTTTAACACTTGACGTATTTTAACTACATTTTTGGTAAAGAATTTGTATTTGGTTGAGTGGTTAGATTCAACATAGATATCTCAGCAGTCTCGAGTTCGGATTCACGAGTTGTTGATTGCAGATCTTCTCCAAGTCCCCCCCCCCCCTCCCTACCCTCCACACAGGTGGCTGCTTCAAGTTACCCCTTCCCCATCCCCCACCCATGATGCTGATGGGTACCTGACTCAGTGACATCGTCTTTTTTTTTCTGATTCCGAGGAATAAAAAACGACGAAATTCTCTACTTCACCTACCCAGACCAATTGATAATTCACTTCACCTTAAGAAAGCATACTTCCTCTACTCGCATGAACATTTTGTTTTTGTATCACCAATAAGTTGTGTCACCAGCTTCTTGTGTCACCATTTTATTATTTTACTAATTTGTAGTGTCACCAGTTCGATGTATTACCAGTTTATGTGTCACTAGCTTCTGTTTTTAATAGGCACAACTATCTTGAAAAACCAGTTTTTTTTTTGTCTTGACTAATTTTACTGATTAATTTGTCGTGTCACCCGGTTTTCGTGTCACCATTTTAATGTCACTAGTTTGTGTGTCATTATTTCAATTTTTGCTGTGCCCCTATTTTCTTGTGTCACCGTTTGTTATGTAAACATTCAGTTGGGTCACCACTTAATTATGTTGTCACTAATTTTTCACTAGTCTATACAGCCAGCTTACAAAATCAGTCCAGCTCATTTTTATACACGAATCTTTGTCAAACCATCTTTTAAATGGCGTGTCTTCGAATATTATTACGGTCAAACTAATTAACCGCTTAACCCAAAAGTTCGACCGGCCAAATGGTTTTCTCCGTGAGACCGGTCAACACCCGGAAAAGTAGTTTATGATGCCGGTCACGATTTCGATTAAAAATTGAATAACAAGTTGGAGCTCACCCTAACATAGTCGCGCGCCTTCGACCCTTATTTAATTTCTTTTTTAACAACCTCCTTTGCACTTAAAAAAAAAAAAACGATAACTCATAAGACGGATATTATATTTTTTTGTGTGTTTCCCGCGCTGAATAATATTTTAGCGCTCAATATTTTTTATACTGCTGTGGGATATGTAATTTGGGACAGGTAGGGGGAGATTTTGTAAAAAAAAAAAGAAAATCTGACACAAGTTTATTAATGGATCGCCCAGAACCACAATCAATCGGAAATCGAAAGGCTCGTTAGAATCCTATTTTAGTACCGCGGTTTTTTTAACCCACGTTGAAATAACACAGTTTCGGTGATCCTTGATTTACTGAACCCTGTTTTACAAACCCCTGTTTCACTGACCCCTGTTTTATTCTTCTTCTCCCCATTCTTGAACCATAGTGGATCATTTCCTCCAACACAATTGAATATTACTTGTTAACTTGTTATACGTCATTTAGGCCGTTGACTACAACTTAACCCCATTCTTTTTCTGGATTTGCTTCCACAGCCTCTGTCCAAACAAGAACAAACTACAAGGCAGCAGTTGTTTGATTTCGGAGTTGTCTCTCCTAGATGTTTTGCCGTCCCCAGCTAACGAGCCTCACTCTTCCTGGGTTCTGAACTCCAGACTCTTGGAGTTAGCAATCATACGCTTTCCCGCCCGACCACGTCGTCCCCACCCCTATTTAAAGTACCGCTGTTTCACTTACCCCTGTTTAAATTACCCCTGTTTTGCTAATCCCTGTTACATTGATCACTGTTTTAAATACCACTTTTTCAATCACAAAATATTTCAATGACCCCCACCCTTCTCTTCCAAGGACCTCTTGATAGTATACGTGACAGTTCAAAATTCCGACTATCACCACAAGCTGACGTGATCCCAATCCCCAACGTGATCCCAATCCCCGAACTAAATTTCTGAAATTTTCAACCCCGATCAGCCCTAGCTAATCTTACACCCGCTCCACAGCGGTAGTCGATTGCCGTCCAGAACAAATCGAATATTCCGTGTCACGTCACATCCGATTACAAAGGATTACGATACGCTAAAAGGCAAGTCGATACGGTGATCATGGTATCGATATAAGCACGGACACTTCGCGGGAGAGAGAGAAAAAAGGGAAATAATTCTTCGCCGTAAAGGGAAATAAATCTAAGTGATGTGTCAATCAAAAGTGGGTTGGGGATTGATGGTGTTGGGAGTGTGACTACTTTATCAATCAACAATGATTTGTGGAGGGTGTCATCAGGTTTTAGCCGTGTCTATGAAAATTGTCAGGTGACATATGGAGTTTTTATGGGAGAAGGGGATTTCAGAAATGGTCAGTGGTTTACATTACACTGGGTTAAAATTAAAAAGAGAAGTATAGATGTATGAAGCGATTGATGAGGGTGGTCGATTTAAGAGAGGAGGGGGAGAGGGGGTCGGAGAAATGGTGTGAGAACTGGACAGTTGGGACATTCATGAGATGGGGGTCGGGGAAGTGGGTCGATTGATGGGGTCGGGGAATTGGTGTGAGAACTAGACAGTAGGGACATTCATGAAATGGGGGTCGGGGAAGTGGGCTGATAGATGTGGGTCGGGGAAGTGTTGTGAGAACTAGACAGTAGAGACATCCATGAGATGGGGGTCGTGGATTTCGGGCGATTGATGGGGGTCGGGGAATAGGTGTGAGAACTAGACAGTAGGGACATTCATGAAATGGGGGTCGGGGAAGTGGGCTGATAGATGTGGGTCGGGGAAGTTGTGTGAGAACTAGACAGTAGAGACAGCCCTGAGAGGGGGGTCGGGGACTGGGGCGATTGATGGGGGTCGGGGAAGTGGTGTGAAAGATGGGGGTCGGGGAAGTGGTGTGAGAACTAGACAGTTGGACAGCCATGAGATGGGGGTCGGGGACTGGGGCAATTGATAGGGGTCGGGGAAGTGGGCTGATAGATGGGTGTCGGGGAAGTGTTGTGAAAACGAGACAGTAGAGACATCTATGAGATGGGGGTCGGGGAACTGGGGCAATTGATGGGGGTCGGGGAAGTGGTGTGAAAGATGGGGGTCGGGGAAGTGGTGTGAGAACTGGACAGTTGGGACAGCCATGAGATGGACAGCGAGAGAGTGAGATGCTCTAGACGGGTGCTGAGAAATGTGGAGGGGCCAGTTGGAGGATTTCTCACGTCTGGTCAAGAGTTGAGCATCCGGTGAAGGTTAAGTGGTGCAGCCGGGGGGGGGGGGGGGATGAGAAAAGTGGGGTGGGGGTGAGAGAGGGGGTCGGGGTATTGAAAATTTGTCGGAGTTGCGGTGATTGGGTAGATCAGGATTTCAGATTTCATGGATTAGGGGAGGGTGGTGGTGGTGGTTGTATAAATGTTGTAGGGGTATTTTGTGGTTGGGACAGTTGAGGTTGAATTAATGGGGTCGGGAGTAGTATGGATCGGATGATAAGGCTGTAGATAGAATGGGGGAGTTGTGTTAATGATGTGGAGGATGGTGGCGTTGTGTGATGTAGGGGTCGGGGTAGGGGGGGGGGGAGTTTTATGAATTGGATGATGGAGTTTTAGATAGAAGTTGTGTTAATAATGGGGGGGGGGGGAGTTGTATGGATGATGTGGGCATGTACTGAATAAAAGATGGTAAAATTGAAGGAGATACTTAGTTATGTGTGTAGGATGTGATGGATGAGTTGTTTGGTCGAAGTGGTGAGTGACAATTGAATTGGTAACTGTGTGTGTTAAACGTGTCGTCTAGTAATGTGCTAATATGTGGCGAGGAAAGGTCGTGTGGCTAGGTAAGGTCGTGTGGGTAGGTAAGGTCGTGTGGTTAGGTAAGGTCGTGTGGTTAGGTAAGGTCGTGTTGTTAGGTAAGGTCGTGTTGTTAGGTAAGGTCGTGTGGGTAGGTTAGGTCGTGTGGTAAGGTCGTGTGGTAAGGTCGTGTGGTAAGGTCGTGTGGTAAGGTCGTGTGGCTAGGTAAGGTCGTGTGGGTAGGTAAGGTCGTGTGGGTAGGTAAGGTCGTGTGGTTAGGTAAGGTCGTGTGGGTAGGTAAGGTCGTGTGGTAAGGTCGTGTGGTAAGGTCGTGTGGTAAGGTCGTGTGGTAAGGTCGTGTGGCTAGGTAAGGCCGTGTGGTTAGGTAAGGTCGTGTGGCTAGGTTAGGTCATGTGGTAAGGTCGTGTGGTAAGGTCGTGTGGGTAGGTAAGGTCGTGTGGTTAGGTAAGGTCATGTGGCTAGGTAAGGTCGTGTGGTTAGGTAAGGTCGTGTGGTTAGGTAAGGTCGTGTGGTAAGGTCGTGTGGGTAGGTAAGGTCGTGTGGTTAGGTAAGGTCGTGTGGGTAGGTAAGGTCGTGTGGCTAGGTAAGGTCGTGTGGGTAGGTAAGGTCATGTGGGTAGGTAAGGTCGTGTGGCTAGGTAAAGTCGTTTGGGTAGGTAAGGTCGTGTGGGTAGGTTAGGTCGTGTGGTTAGGTAAGGTCGTGTGGGTAGGTAAGGTCGTGTGGGTATGTAAGGTCGTGTGGGTATGTAAGGTCGTGTGGTAAGGTCGTGTGGGTAGGTAAGGTCGTGTGGTTAGGTAAGGTCGTGTGGGTATGTAAGGTCGTGTGGTTAGGTAAGGTCGTGTGGGTAGGTAAGGTCGTGTGGTAAGGTCGTGTGGCTAGGTAAAGTTGTGTGGGTAGGTAAGGTCGTGTGGGTAGGTAAGGTCGTGTGGTTAGGTAAGGTCGTGTGGTTAGGTAAGGTCGTGTGGGTAGGTAAGGTCGTGTGGGTAGGTTAGGTCGTGTGGTTAGGTAAGGTCGTGTGGGTATGTAAGGTCGTGTGGTTAGGTAAGGTCGTGTGGGTAGGTAAGGTCG